TACCAAAAAAAAAAAAAAAAAAAAAAGAAACAAAAGGAAGTAGGGTGAACTCACAGAGTCATTAGAGAATCCTCAGTCTTTCTAGGGAAGGAAGAATAAAGGAAGTATGTCTGCCACCCCTGCAGCTGCACATCTGTGGCAGTCCTGGCTGCAAACTAGACATGAAGCAGTATTCTGAGGCACTGATGGCAGTCTTTCTATCCCAGTTACTATAGTTGCTCTGAGAATTGCTAGCCAGGAAAGCAACCAGAGGCACACAGTCTGAGAGATCCATGTAGCATATCATGGCTTCTCTGAATACTCAGTGGCTCCAGAGCTACAGATAAAGTTTTATTGTCTTTTTTTTTTTTTGAGACAGAGCCTTGCTCTGTTGCCAGGCGCCAGGCTGGAATGTAGTGGCACAGTCTCGGCTCACTGCAGTCTCCGCCTCCTAGGTTCAAGCAATTCTCCTGCCTCAGCCTCCTGAGTAGCTGGGACTACAGGCGTGTGCCACCACACTCAGCTAATTTTGTATTTTTTAGTAGAGACAGGGTTTCACCATGTTGGCCAGGATGGTCTCGACATCTTGATCTCGTGGTCTGCCCGCCTCGGCCTCCCAAAGCGCTGGGATTACAGGCCTGAGCCACTGCGCCCAGCCTAAAGTTTCATTTTCTAACTAAAAATTTAAACAATTGACTTTTGTCTCACTTTAGGCATAAGAGGGAGTCTGAAGTGTAAGGTAAATATTTTCTTAGATATCTTGAAGGTATATGCTAGAAAAAAGCTGTAACATTCAAAACTGGATTCATCTTAGGAAAAACATTTTTAATCTCCATAACAAAAGGAAATAAAATCCAAGGCAACCAATCTAGAAAGCCCTTCTCTTTTCTTTCTGGGCTTCTATGGGTATATTACCTATTTTCTAAGCCAGGCGTGAAGACACGTGGTCTTAATAATACAAATGTATCCATGGGGAAATCGGCTGTATAATTGGAAGAAACACTTAACAGAAAATGCAAGACACAGTTACCATATCTGTATGGAGTCAGGAGACTGTGACATTTATCTGTGGAGGCACTAGTTACCTGATCTTTTCCTCAGACCACCTCTAATTTTGTTTTTTGTGTTTTGTTTTGTTTTTTAAAAAATACATTTGGACATTTATAGTGATTCATATAATGCCTGGATAAGAAGGTGGGAGTCTTATTGAAAGAAGTTGAACTTTTCCTGCAATAGCTTCCATGGAAAGAACACATGTCATGTATGAGAAGAAAAATTCTTGTTTTGTAAAAGTAATCAATAAAGTTTAGTTGACCTTTTTTATATTCTCTTGTTGTAGACATTCTTTCAGAGATAAGCAGAGATAATCTTGGTATGGAAAACAATTGTTGGCCATATGTATTTAAGTTGACTTACTACTACTGTTTTCTTCTCAAGGTCATTGAGGGTGAGGGTGGTAGAGAAAAAGCAGTGGATAAAGAGTCAGAAAAACTTGAGTTCTGGTATAGGTTGTGTTAGGAGCTGTTGAGGTGTCTGTCTTCATCTCATGTCCCTCAGCTGTAAGGGACAGCTCTTGTACTCTTCTCTGGTAAAGACCAGGAGAGATGATGGACTCACTCATCTGCACATATTTGTTGATGCTCCCGTAATAAGTAGTCAGAGATGGATAACAGTTGGGCCCCATCCATAGGAAAACATTCTGAGAACTGTAGTGCTCAAATGCAGTACAATTGGTTATTATTTCATTTGTGGATTGTGTTTGTTTCTTGGTCACTAATTACATGAAAATAATACAACTAAAATAACTGTTTTTAAATACACGGGCTATTGGCAGTCCTGTGATAACCACACAAATGCTAAAGAAACACAGCTGTGATGTGTGCTTTGTTCCCCACAAGGGAGCCTCTGTGCGTCCAGAGAGGGCAGGGACTGTCATGTGGCTCGGGTCCCCATGTGAAGGCTCAGGGCACCTAGGAGCATTTTCTGTATGAGTTGAGGCTGTGGATTTACTGGAAGACTTCAAGGTCTCTCTTAATTTTCTTCTTCCATCTTCCTACAAAAAAAAAAAAAAAAGAAACAAAATCTGAGAACTTTTTAGGTGGGTGGAAAAGGCAGAGGGAAGTGAAATTGGTAATTAATCATGACAAACTCAAAGTAGAATTAAATTATTGGAAGTCAAATCATAGTTATTACTCAACTATAAAATTATTGTCATTCATAGAGTAACAAAGACACTATTCAAAAAAAGAGTATCTGACTTTAAAATCCCTGACGCTACTTTTAAATGCACGTTATATAGCAGAATAGAAGTTACATGTTTGAATAAATTCCCTGAATATAGAAAGGCCTTGTTCTAGATGGAATTAACTAGCAGTTTTTAATGATAGTATTTGTATTAATTTATTAATAACCTAAAATGTTTTTATTTGTATCTGCCCTGTATCATACAGTGTTTTACTTTTGGTATTAGTCTGTTCTCGTACTACTATTAAGAAATACCCGAGGCCAGGCACGGTAGCTCACTCCTGTAATCCCAGCATTTTGGGAGGCTGAGGCAGGTGAATCACTTGAGGTCAGAAGTTTGAGACCAGCCTGGGCAACATGATGAAATCCCATCTCTACTAAAAATACAAAAACTAGCTGGGCATGGTGGCACATGCCTGTAATTCCAGCTACTTGGGAGGCTGAGGCACAAGAATCGTTTGAATCTGGGAGGCAGAGATTGCAGTGAGCTGAGATTGTGCCACTGCACTCTAGCCTGTGTAACAGAGTTAAGACTGTCTCTCAAATTTAAAAAAAAAAAAAAAGAAAGAAAGAAATAACCACGACCAGGTAATTTATAAAGGAAAGAGGTTAATTAACACATGGTTCTGCTGGGCTGAGGAGGCCTCAGGAAACATACAATTGTGGTGGAAGGGCAAGGAAACGTGTCCTTCTTCATGTGGTGGCAGCAGGAAGAGTGCTGAGTGAAGGGTGGGAAAAGCCCCTTATAAAACCATTAAATCTCATGAGAACTCACTCTCTATCAGGAGAACAGCATGGAGGTAACCACCCTTGTGATTTAATTACCGCTCACCGGGTCTCTCCCACAGCCCATGGGGATTATGGGAACCACAATTCAAGATGAGATTTAGGTGGGGACACAACCAAACTGTATCACTCTTCAGCAAGTGATGCATAGTGTGAGTCTATTAATACAGCCGTTCATATATAGCACATCCGATCCTGCTGTGTTTTTGAAATGATAAAATATAAGGTAAAAACTATTAAATGTGATAATAAAGTGTCACCTCTGATCAAAACTAAGGGACCTTAAATTAAGATGAGCAGATTAAACCTCTTCACTCTTATGTTGGTAGTGTTATTTTTTCACTCTTCTGTGTTGTGTTATAAAATGGTGTTGATCAGCTGTTTTGTTGGGTGGATGTATGGAGGACAAGATATGAAGCCTGAGGGCAGGACAGACCTAGGGCTGGGCTCTTCTCCAGCCAGTCTCTGATGTGAGCTCGGTAGTATGGTAACAGCAATATCCATACCCTGCAGGCCACAGAAAAGGTGTGGACTTAACAAACTATGCCAGAATGAAATCTGCAGGCTGTGGATAGGAAGGCTTTCCAAGCCTCAGAGCCTCTGGCACACTTAAGCTGCAGAAATAAAGCTTCATAATGAGATCAAAGCCAAAACATACTATAACCAGACACCACAATTATTCATTCATTCAGTAACTAATTATTGGATTCCACACAGCCCACAGCCTGGTGGCAGAGACAGACATAGAAACAACAGAGGATGCCAAGCACTGTCCACTTAGTGGTCAGAATTCTGTGCAGCACACAGGTGGGCATACGGGGCACAGATACCCCATGATGTCTGTGAGCAGTGTTTCCTACTGCAGCATGCTAAGTGACAATTTACCTCATGAGGGAGAGTTGGACTCATAAAAAGGAATAAATACATTCTGCCTAGCAACAGACTAATCTCAAAATATTCTAAGTGGTGGAAATGGCCAAGATGGCTGAAGTCCACAGGTGAGGTGGAGACTGGGGAGGAAGGAAGACCTTCTATTTGTGGGAGAACTTGAAAGCCACCCTGGGGCACATCTGAGGACATGAGCCCCGAACACCATGTTCTCTGGCCCCAGAGCATTCCCAAATGATGCTCTCATTCATCTGGTCTCCCTTCATCTCTTCTCCTTTCCCTCCCTCTTCCTTCCCAGTGGGTGCCAGGAAGTATATGAGTACTGTGGCCAAAACAAGAAATAGTTTTCCTGAATCCTCTTCACTTCCATCCTTTTCTCATAACCTCCTCACATGGTTGACACATAAAGGTAAAATGTAATGTGAACTAAAGTGGAAATAAAAGTCCCACATATTTTTTTATTTGTCCACTGAGAGTAGAGGACATTTTCATTACAACTTGAATAAAAAGAAATGAATAACCTAAAGATTAAAGACCCCAGGCATCAAAATGCCAAATCCCTAAATAAGTGGACATCTAAACTCCATTAAAAATGAAAGCTCAGGCAGAGATTATTACAAGATTTTAGCCTGGAAGTTATGAAGTCATCTCAGCTTACCTACTCTCATGTTTTAACCAAAAATAATTTTTCATCAATTAGCAAATAGAAGAAGACATCATTATGTCTCTTACAAGAATATTGAAAAATTATAATGTCATTAAGAAATTGAGAGAAATGTTAATTTTTCTGTAGTAAATATTCAGGTGGGATGGGGATGAACATGTGGCCATTTTTACTGGTTGTACAGAGAAATTGTGGGTTCACACTTTAGCCTCCATCTCTCCATTTGTAAGAGAGTAAGTAAAGGAAAACAAAGTATAGAAAAAGCTAACTAAAATATTTAGAATATAATATGGTATAATAATCCTTTATCTCATTCTTGTAGAAATTCTTTCCTTCTTGACCCTTGTTCTATATTTTTTAAGACCATCCTCCATTGTTAAGATCCCTCTGTTTACTGCGCCAAATTGTAATTCTCAGTGTCACTTTGCCTTCCTTCTAGAGCTTCTTTGAAGGGCAGTCTGCACCATGGGACTCGGCTAAGAAAGATGAGAACAGAATGAAGAACAGATATGGGAATATTATTGCATGTAAGTGTCCACAGCGTCATTGTGCTGTTGTAGAACTTCCTTTTCGCATCTGGTAAGATTAACCACCAGGCTCATACAGAGGAAATTTACAGTGCAATTACCGCCTTCATCCTCCTAGAAGATCTGGTGTTACACTCATATTAAAGAAAGGAATAACATCTGAATACCCCCACTTCATCATTGTACTTTTGCTGTGGGTCCTGTTTTAGGTTGGGTAACATAGGTAACGTTAAAATACCAAGAAGGAAAATGCATTTTGGATGGAGTAAACATAAAAGTCCTAATGTTTCCCAGCTGCTACCTGAGAATGAATGGAAATAATGATGCACCGCATGCCTTAATGCAAGGAGCTTGCAGTTCTCTGCAAACATTAACTCATTAATCCTCTGGACACTGGGTTAGGTAGGTCAGTAATAGCCGCATTTTAAGGACAGGAAACTGAATCTCAGAAGTTAAATGATACTCCCCATATCACAACACTCATTAGCAAAAGAGCAGGGATTATAGCTTAGAAGTTCCCAGTGCCTGTGAAACCGAATGTTACCAATCCATAATGCCTTGGATGGTTTTTAAGTCGAGCCCAGCCTCATTAACGTTCGTAAACAATGCTGAGATGCATGCTGGATTGATGAAACCCCTTCTCCCAGGGCTCACACTATCCATCCCCCATGTTAAACTGCTATCCGTCATCCATGGCTGCATCAAGGCACTGACTGGGCCCACTGTAGTCGCCTATCAGAATTAATACTATTTATAAAGATGCATACATTTTTTAAAAACAACACAACAATGCGGATTAGGCCAAGAGAACATTTTGCTCATCGTTCTCATTTCTTATGAGAGAACAGACTTGGACAGTTTGATTATTCCAGGGAAGCAATCTATTAGCTTTATTGATTGTGAAAGTGCTGTTAAACTGTCTTTGCCTGAGTTCACATTGCTTAGTGTGACAGTACAGATTCTCTAGCAGTGCTGCCCACAGAATTTCCTGTGACTGCAGAATGTTTCGTGTCTGTGCCGTCCCAGACTGTAGCCATGAGCTACACAGGAGTAGCTGCACTGCATACTTGGAATGTGGCCGTACAACTGAGAAACTGAATCTTGTTTTTGCTGTTCAAGAGTTTGACAACATGAATTTAAAATTTTATTTAATTTTAACTATTTTGAATTTACGTAGTCCATGAGGCTAGTGGCTACTAATCTAGTTAGCACAGATTTCAATGTGTTTTAGAAAAAGAAATGGGGCGAGGGGGTCGGTGGTGGTAGAGTGGAGCTTACACATGACACAAAACGTCCCAATTGAGCATGTGCTGCTTTCCCTCTGGCCATCAAGAAATCCAGATTGCCAGTGTTGCCAGGTACAAATGCTAGCTTCATGTGTTTTGTAGGTTGGTTTTAGAGCATGCTGTATTTACTAGCACTGGATTGGTCATGTCACAGTCCTTTGTATGTAGGAGATACTGTCCTGAGGTCTAGGATTGATTACTCCTCAGTGGATTCCGTCAACACTTGTGGGATGCTTTCTTGATATGGACACTGAGGACACAAAGGTCATGGAGATGAGATGGTTGGTGCCCCTTCCCCCAGGACAGACCCAACTGGGCAGAGTCACTGCTGTGGCAGTAGTCCAGTGCCTGGTACACAGTGCTCCAGAGGCTTGGAGAAGGAAAACATGGTTTCTTGGTCTATCTAGACCCTTCCACGTTCCTTCATTTTCTCTGGGAGCCCACTGAAGCTTTGCACTGTTAGAAGAATCCAGATTTCTCCTGGTGGCTTACAGGATCCTTTTCAGGAGTCCCTTCAGTTCTGCAACAGACTCACAGAGATTCTTGGAAGTGAAACAGGAAATCCCCTTGCCAAACCAAGTGGAAGGAAGGGACATTGCTGAGCCTAAACTTCATCGCTGTAGCATCACTGATGCTTTTGCTGAGCATACAGAATGCAGTGTCAAAGGATGTAGCCTTGCGTATGCTGAGAGATCCCACTGGCCTTTGCCCAATATGACACTGAATCTGCTTCTTCCCAGCGTATAGTTTAATACCTCCTCTTGGAGACACTTGAGATATATTTTTGAATCATGAGTGAAAAAAGCTAGCATTTGCTGGGCACTTACATATGCCAGACACCACACTGAGTACTTTGCACATATGAACTTGCTCACTTCCTATAACAACACCACGAAACAGGTAATATTTTTGTATGTATTTTATAGCTGAGGAAATCAAGGGATAAAGAGAGTTAAAGGGTTTCACAGTTAATAAGGTATGGAGGCAGGATTCCAACCCAGGAGAAGCTATCACAACTACTGCCTAGTGGGTGCTGGGATGATTGGCCCCACTGACTTGGTTTTCACCAGGTATGGTGGCTTATACCTATAATCCTAGCACTTTGGGAGGCTGAGGTGGGAGAATTGCTTGAGGCCAGGAGTTGGAGAACAGCCTTGACAACAAAGCAAGACTCTGTCTCTACCAAAAAAAAAAAAAAAAAATAGCTGGGCATGATGGCACGTGCTTGCAGTCCCAGCTCAGGAGGCTGAGGCAGGCAAATATGGGGATGGCCCTATATTGATTGTTTCCTTTCTAAAAAATGGCTGCAGGTCCCCCACCATGTTCCAAGCAGATTTTCTCCTTTAAAACTCCATAAATTCAGGCCACTTTGTCTCCACTTGATCCTTGTGGGTATTTGATGTACAGCGATTTGTCACAGGAACATTGAATTCTATTCCTCTATCCATTCTTCATCATAGCTGGACAGACAGTATGTGCTTAATAGGGTCCAGTAATCCATCTCTTCTTTCAATAAATATTTATTAATTCCTTTCTTTTGCCAGACTCTGTGGGAGGCAGTGCTATAAGAAGATGGTGAAGGCCAAGGTGGGTGGATTACCTGAGGTCAGGAGTTTGAGACCAGCCGAAACCCTGTGTCTACTAAAAAGGCAAAAATTAGCTGGGCGTTGTGGCGCATGCCTGTAATCCCAGGTACTCAGGAGGCTGAAGCAAGAGAATCCCTTGAACCTGGGAGGCGGAGGTTGCAGTGAGCTGAGAACACACCACTGCACTCCAGCCTGGGTGACAGAGCGAGACTCCAAAGGTTTCAAAAAAGAAAAAAGATAATAAACCACAGATGTATACTGCCCTCCTAGCAATTACAGTCTGGTGCAGGGGCCTGGCAGCCTTTTTTCTGTAAAGGGTCCAGTAGTAAATGTGTTAGCCTTTACAGGCCAATCTCAGTCTCAGCTCAGCTTCTTGGCTCTGCTATTTTCATGCAAAAGCAGTCACAGACAGTGCAGAACTGGATGGGTCTGACTATGTTCCAGGAAAATTTTTTTTTCAAAAGCAGGCAGTGGGCTAGATATGGCTCACAAACAGTAGTTTGCTGACTCCTGGTTTATTGGAGAACAGATTCCATGAGGGCAGCTTATCCTTACCCCCTAGGATACATTTCTACCTCCAAGATCGTGTTCAACTCTCAGAACCCTGAACTTAGGATCAATTTTTTCAGTACCCCAAATATAGGTATCAAATGTGATTTGTGTGTCTGGCACAATGTTGTCAGAGGTGGGATGGATTTAAATCCACTTCCTACCACCATGAATTTGCAGTCTGTTGCCAGATCCGGCTAAGACATGCATGAAGCAATAGATCTCAGGTCCATAAATAAATGGAAAATGTATTGTGGGGACACCATTGGGGACATCGAGGAGAAGGGTGAGTGGATGAGGGGCAGACTGATCAAGAAAGACCTTTCGGACAAAAGAGAAGGACATAGGGTTTGGAGACAGGAGGAATAGTTTGGAGTCCTTGTCCTGCCGCACACTGGCTCAGTGACCTTGGGTGAATCGTGAGCCTTCTCGATGGCAGAATTTCCTGACAAGATCACATGTTGTGGAAATGAACAGAAATGCCACATTTAAACAACACTGATCATTGTTACCTGAAAAAAAAATCCCACATCTTCATTACTTCCGTGTTATTCTTGAGTTTAGCAGATTCATTACTTCATTTAAAATGAAAAAAACAAAAAAACAAAAAATCAGCATGTTGAAGTCTCAGATTCCAAGCAGTGAGCCGGTCGGTAATTCGGGGACCATCCTGCTCCTTACTGGTGAGGACTTCTTTGTGCCGTGGTCCGGTTCCGCCCAGGCGGGACTCTGCGTCCGTTTCCAGGCATTGTGCTCGGCTGTCATTTAGCCATGACCTCTGAGGCTACATTTTCCAGCCGTCACCACCCTCCATCCCATCCCTTCCTGGTACTCTTTTAGGATTTCTTTACTGGGTTGTGTTATTTTTGTATCTTTCTTGGGACAGTGTCAAAAAGAGACTTCTCTGTCCAGCATTCTAATCTTGCTCTCACCTTTAGTGGTGTCCTGAAGCCCTTTCCTGGGCATAGCCCTTCCTCTAGTTTGCTGTTGCTTCCTATACCCTCACACACATAATGACCCACATGCACATAATGACCCACACAAACATAATGACTCACACCTACATAATGGCTGTTTCTTTATGGGCATAGTGAATAGTATTACCATCTCCCGCCTAAAAATTATGTAATTGGAGAAAAGTCATTTCCACTTCCTGGGAAGTCTGCTTCCTAGAGCCTCGAACTTGGGATAACACCACTAACTAGGATGAGGAATTGGGATTCAGGCAGCATGTCTTAGAAAGATTGTTAGTGCTTTTCAAAGAACGCAGGAGCCGTTTGATGATCACATTCATTGTTTTGCAGCAGTGTTTGCATATAAAATAGTTGTAATGGTCCTTAAAACTGTTTATTGGCTTTTGCTCTTAAGTAAGTTAACTTTTCCCTTATTTACACTGTAAATTTGCTGAGCTAGTCCCTTCCAAATATAAACCAACACCCTATCCACCATTACCGCTCCTCCACACAAAAGCATAGTCCTCCTAATACTCTCAACAGTTCCTAATTATAATTAACTCTAAGCTTAAGGCACACCCCAAATCTCCCTGCTAACGAGGCAGAGGCAGCCCCCTTGCAGCCGG